TTGCATGAAAATGATATATATTAATAATCATCTTAGAGAGAATCATCTTAACGCGAAATAAAATCGGATGCGAATTTTTTAAAGAAATAAAATTAAATTTAAATATTTTTTCGTAAAAATAAATAAATAAATAAATAAATTCATTTTTTTTTAAAGGAAATAATTTAGTTATTGACTAGTCCACGTATATCATTGAAATTCACCTATCACTGTATTATAGATTCATTCGAATTATTTTCTCTATTTCACTTAAAGAAGATAAAAAATGGAAGAATTGATTCCAAAATGAAATCATAATTTGTTTTAACCAGATTCAAGATAGAGTGTTACACGTTCGAGGTCTTTGGCAGCAACAAAGACTTCGTAATCTTGCCGCTGGGCTAGACTCTTCTGATCACCGTTCTTCGACACTTTCATTTCCACCATTTTCTTGTTGAGGTCTTGCTATTTGGTATGTGATAAGATATTCGGGATATGCTTGTTCACCTCTATAGACAACATATTCGGGGAAAGCTAAACCACCTTGAGATGGTCTACCCATTACGCTATGGTGTCCAGGTGGTGCATGAGCCATTTTCATTGCAGAAAATTGCAGAAATGACTTTCCCAGTGTAACACGACAGAGTAATAAATGTCTATAAATATTATATAATAAAAATTTAAAGAATAATCAATATTAAATAGTTCAGAAATAATAAAAATTGTTCCTTTTTTTTATATAAATACCTGTGACAGATATAACAACTTCGATCTTTATGAGCAGGACAACCAGTACCACCACATATTCCGTATACATATTGATTACTTTTGCTACTATGTTCAGCAAAATAAATTCCAGCGCCAAACATACCACCAATATACGCATGCCGTTCATCGAAACCCTTTTGAACGATAGCATTAATAAATGGACTACCATGAAATAACATTCTCTCATTTGCTTGTGGTAAACTCGATCCAGGAGTAGTTCTAGATCCAGTACTTGGAGAAGAAGGTGCTGCTGCACCAACTTCTTCAGCTACTTCTTGTCTTCTATGCGCATAACGTTCCCATAATTTACGATTTTGCACTTTTTGTATCTATTTCGAAAAAAATCATAATTATTAATTATTACTATTATATTATTATTATATTACTATTATTAATTTTACATTTAATAAAATATAACAATATTATAGATTATAAATAAATACTATTGTGATGTAATTTAATTTAAAACATACCCTAACTATATTATATCGAGAAAATATACCACCAGAATGACCATTATCTCTATGTTGTCTAATTGTACTTTGCATTTCTTCCTCTACAGCTAAAAATTCTTTATCCTCTGCTAATAAGTCTACCAACAATGTTCCTGGCGTAATAGTCGGTTGCCAAGGAGTACCAGCAGTCGTGTTTAGAAGTTTTTCCATGCCCTTGATTAATTTGTGTCTATAACCATATGCAGATACTCCAACTTGTTTTAAATCCTCATGACCCATTTCTGCTAATATATCTAATGTAATTTGTTCACGTTCGAATAATTCTAATAAATGTTCTAAACTGAGGCTTTGAAGAAAACCAGCAACAGTTGTGATATTTGAATTATCTTTAGAATCTTTGGAATCTCT